ATAATAACCGAAAAGTTCCCCAACTTGGGAAAGGGAAGAATCACTCAAGTCCTGGAAGCGCAGAGAGTACCACACAGAATCAACCCAAAGAGGAACACACCAAGACACATAGTCATCAAATTGACAACAATTAAGGATAAGGAGAAAATATTAAAATTAGCAAGAGAAAAGCAACGAATAACATACAGGGGAACTCCCATAAAGTTATCAGCTGAGTTTTCAGCAGAAACTCTACAGGCCAGAAGGGAGTGGCATGGATATATTTAAAGTGATGCAAGAGGGAAACTTACAACCAAGAACACTCTATCCAGCAAGGCTCTCGTTCAGACTTGATAGAGAAATCAAAAGCTTCACAGATAAACAAAAGCTAAAAGATTTCAGCACCACCAAACCAGCTTTACAACAAATGTTAAAGGACCTTCTCTAGTCATCAAACCATAAGAAAAGAGAACAAAAAGAAGAAAGAGAAAAAAAAAGAGAGAGACAGAGACCTACAAAATATTGCTTTGGCTGTTTGGGGTCTTTTGTGGTTCCTTATAAATTTTGGAATTACTTGTTCTAGTTCTGTGAGGAATGTCATAAGTATTTTGATGGGGGCTGCACTGGATCTGTGGATTGCTTTGGGTAGTGTGGCCATTTTGATAGTGTTAATTCTTTCAATCCAAGACAAGAAATCTTTCCATTTCCTTGTGTCACTTTGGTTTTCAGAGTATAGGTAAACTCCTTGGTTAAGTTTATTTCTAGGTATTTTCTTGTTTTTGACATAATAGAAATGTCTCTGCCAGTTATAAAATTCTGGTTTTTGAAGTGGAAAAAAAAAGTGAACAAAGGGCCCACAAATGGCAAAATATCCTTCTTTTTTATGGGTGCACTGTATTCCATTATATATATGTATGCTTCATCTTCATTATCTATTCAACTATTATTGTGCACTTGGGATGCTTCCATATCTTGGCAATTATAAATAATGTTGCTGTTAATAGCAGGGTGTATGTGTCTTTTTGAGTTAATTACTTTGTGGTTGGCTTTATTCTTTTGATAACTATGTAAGTTTAAAAAGCCAAAGCTCTAAACATTCTTAGAAAAATTAAACAGTACATATATGTAAATTTAAAGATATATGTGCAATAAAAAAAGAAAGATGTATCAAGCCATGAAAGACATAGAAGAAACTTAAAAGACATATTACCGAATGAAAGAAGCCAGTCTGAAAAGGCTACAAACTGTACAATTCTAACCAAATGACATTCTGGAAAAGGCACAGCTACAGAAACAATAAAAAGATCATGGTTTCCAGGAGTTTGGGGGAGGGAGGGAGGGAGGAATGAATAGATGGAGCACAAGGGATTTTTAGGGCAATGAAATTATTCTGTATAATACTATAGTGGCTACATGTCATTATGCATTTGTTAAAACCCACAGAATGTACAACATCAAGAGTAAACTCTAATGTAAACTATGGACTTTGGTTGATAATAATGTGCCCATGTTGGTTCACCGATTGTACTAAAAATGCCACACTGATGAGGGATGTTGAAGGTATATATGTGTGGGTGGTGAGGGCTATGTGGGAACTCTGTATTTTCTGCTCAATTCTTTTGTGAACCTGAAACTGCTCTAAAAGAATAAAGCCTATTAAAAAAAAAAAGTCCACAAACAATAAACGCTGGAGAGGGTTTGGAGAAAAGGGAACTCTCCAACACAATTGGTGGGAATGTAGTTTGGTGCAGCCATTATGGAAAACAGTATGGAGATTCCTCAAAAGACTAAAAACAGACTTGCCATATGATCCAGCAATCCCACTCCTGGGCATACATCCACAGGAAACCTTAATTTAAAAAGATACATGCACTTCAATGTTCATAGCAGCACTATTTACAATAAGCAAGACATGGAAACAACTCAAATGTCCACCGACAGATGACTGGATAAAGAAGTTGTGATATATTTATACAACAGAATACTACTCAGCCATAAAAAATAAAATAAAATAATGCCATTTGCAGCAACATGGATGGACCTGGAGATTGTCTTTCTAAGTGAAGTAAGCCAGAAAGAAAAAGAAAAATACCGTATGATGTCACTTACATGTGGAATCTAAAAAAAAAAAAAAAAAAAAAGACAAACTTATTTACAAAACAGAAACAGACTCACAGCCATAGAAAACAAACTTATGGTTACCAAGGGGGGGAACAGTGGGGGAAGGGATAAACCGAGAGTTCGAGATTTGCAGATACTAACTAATATACACAAAATAGATAAACAACAAGTTCATACTGTATAACACAGGGAACTATATTCAATATCTTGTGGTAACTTACAGTGAAAAAGAGTATGAAAACAAATATATGTATGTTCAGTATGACTGAAGCATTATGCTGTAAACTGGAAATGTGTACAACATTGTAAATTGACTATACTTCAATAAAAATTTATTTATACAAAAAAATTCAAAGAAAAGTTAAGAGAGTAAATGGATAAACTTAGAATCTGAGTGTCCTTCCTAAGCAAGACTGTAGTCCCAATAAAAGCTACCATTACATCTTACTTGGCTTACAGCAATAAACTCTTAACTACTCTGTTTGCAGTTCCTCTCAAGTTCTTCTATAATACATTCCCCAAGCAGGGTGATCTTTAGAAAACAAAATCTGCACAGCTGGACGTAGTTGGAACTCCTGTAGTTATCTCCTCTTTTTTTTATCCTTACAGTTGTTTATTTGTGCTTTCTCTCTCTCTTTTTTCTTGAATTAACTTTTGGTCTTTCGAATATAGGTATGTATATGCATGACTGGGACATTGTGCTGTACACCAGAGATTGACACACTGTAATTGACTATATACTTCAATTAAAAAAAAATTTTGGGTCTTTGTTGAGTTTTTTAAATTGTATCTTTGTTTTCTATTTCATTTATTTTTATAATTGCTCTCTTTAGCCTTTTTTAAAGGTTTTATTGCTATATTTGGACACAACACATATTTATAAGCTTTTCTTCTTTTCCAGTGTAAACATTTAAGACTATAAATTTCCCTTACAGTACCACTTAACCTGCAAGTTTTGATTTGCAGTATTGTCATTATTATTAAGCTATATTTCCATCATGATTTGTTTTCTTATTCATGATTATTTAGACATATGTTCATTAACTTCCAAACATATGGCATTTTTTAAGATAGTTCTTACTGAAGTGTTATATAAGTACCAAAAAGTACATAAATCATAAGTACACACCTCAATGAATTTCCACAAAATGGATTTATTTGTGTACTCATTCTCAGAACAAGATAAAGAATGTCATTTGTCGCAGATGCCCCCAGTATGTCCACTTCAAGTCATCACCTTCCCTGAAGGTAACTATACTTACTTGTATCATCATCAATTAGTTTTGCCCATTTGAGGATTTTATATAAACAGAATCATATAGAATGTTCTCTTTTTTATCTACTGTCTTTCATTCTTCCCCATAGTTGTGAGATCCATCCACTTTGTTGCATAGATATACAACTCTGGATGGACATATGGGCTGTTTTCAGTGTTTGATTCTGATGAACAGAATAGAGCTATTACTAATAAGTATTTCTGTTGGGTATATACCTAGGAATGGAATTGTGTGTTATCACTATGCCTAGATTCAGCTGTAGTAGATACTACCAATTTTCCAGTGTGGTTGTACCAAGATACATGACCACCACCAACAGAGAATAAGAGTTTTTGGTACTCCACATCATTGTCAGCACTTAGCATGATCAGTTTTCCTAGTGCTAGGATTTGGGGAGTACAGAGTGGCTTCTCATTGTGTCTTAAATTTGTATTTCCCTGAAGAACTGATGAACTGAGCACTTTCTCATACGCTTACTGGCAACTCAGAAATCCTCTTTTATGAAATATCTGTTCAAGTTTTTTGCCTATTTTTTAAAATTGACATGTCTGTATATCCTCACTGGTATGAAGGAATTTTAAAAAACTGAATACCAGTCCTTTGTTCAATACATGTATTGAACATTTTTTTCTCATATTATGTGTCTTGCCTTTTCACTCTTTTAATGTTATGTTTTCATGATCAAAGGTGTTTAGTTTTAGTGAAGTTCAATTCACCTATCTTCTCCATTGTGATTGTGATGTTTGCAACACAACTGACAAAAGATGAGTGTTCAGAATATAAAAAGAACTTATACAAATCAATAAGGAATAAAAAACAATTTAAATATGGGCAAAAGACATAAACAGGTATTTCATAAGAAAGGAAAAATGAATGGGTAATAATCATATGAAAAGATGTTCAACCTCATTAGTAATCAGACCATGCAAATGGGATACCATTTTATAACTGTCAGATTGGCAAAAATTAAGAAGTGTTTGGTTAGGATATGGAGCAAAAAAATAATAATAATACACTGGCAATTGGGGGTGAACATTAGAACAAGAACTTCGTAATATAATATGATATTACCTTATAAAGTTGAAGATAATTCTCGTCATCCAGGTTTTCTCCTCCCAGGTATCTGTCCTAAAAAATTTCTGGCACATATGCACACAGAAATTGGATAGCAATATTACAAAAAGGTAGAAATAACAAATGTCCATTGACAATAAAATAGATAAACAAATTATAGCATATATACACACAATGGAACAATAGACAGCTGCAAAAGTTAAATAATACACATCAACTTGGATGAATCACAAAATTATAACATTAAGTATAAAAATTGATTCTCAGAAGTCTACATGCAAACTACATAAATACATTTGAAACTACATAAATGTCAAAATCATACAAAGTTTAACAATAAATTGTACAGGAATACTTATGTGTAGAAATATTATAATGAAATTATTATCACAAAGGAATGATAAAAAAGTTTAAAGAAAGGAATGCAATTGAGAAGGCTCCCACAGCGGTCCTGAGAAGTTTTGGTAGTGTTCTACTTCTTAAGCAGGACAAGGAGATATACAGGAACTTTATTCATTACTTTTTTATATTATATACATGTTACATTTATGTATGTAAGATTATTTCATAGTAAAAGGCTTTTTAATATTATGCAGCCATCAAAGTGATATTTTGTTAGGAGTTTGAGATTTGCAGATATTAACTACTATATATAAAATAAACAGGTTTATACTGTACAGGCACAAAGAACTATATCCAATATTTTGTGGTAACCTATAGTGGAAAAGAATACAAAATGAATATATGTATGTATATGTATGACTTGAACTATTATGCTGTACACCAGAAATTGACACACTGTAAAGTGACTATGTTTTAATTAAAAAAAAGTGGTATTTTGCAAGTTTAAAATATCATGGAATTTACCAAGATCGCCATATATGCTTTTGTATGTATAGCGTATCTCTGGGAGGATTTTTTTTTAAGTGGTAACAATAGTTATTATAGAAACATGATCTGGGAAGGTTCCATTAGCCCCCCTAAATCCACTTTTCATCCTTCTACATCCTGCTCTGTATCCCAGACTCTTTAAAGACTGCCTCAACTGGCTCCCATGCTCTGTAACTTCCAGGTAAGTTCAACCAATTGGAGGCATCAGGGAGAAGGGTGAGATTTAGGTATTTATTCCTTCAGTACCTTTCCTGTCTATTGGTCAGGACTGTCTATGCATCCCTCTAAGAAAGGCCAGAGCACCTGTTGCCTTGTTTTTTATATTATATTATATCTCAGGGTTCTCCAGAGAAACAGAATCAATAGGGTGTGTGTGTGTAGAGAGAGAAAGGAGAAAAAAAAGAGTGACAGAGAGACAAAGAGATTTATTATGAGAAATTGGCTCACATGATTACGGGGCTGAGATGTCCCAGATTTGCAGGGTGACTTGGCAAGCTGGACACCCAGGAGACCTCATGTGCAGTTCCAGTTTGAGTCTGAAAGCCTGAGAACAAGGAGAGTCAGTGACATAAGTTGCAGTCCAAAAGCCAAGTGGCTCAAGACCTAAGAAGAGCCGATGTGTTAGGCCAAGTCCAAGGCCAGAAAAGACTATTGTCGCAGCTCCACACTCAGACAGGAAGAGTTCCCTCTTATCCAGCCCTGTTATGCTACTCAGGTCTTCAACAGATTGGATGAGGCCCACCCACTTACGGAGGCCAAATGTCTGATATCCAATAGCCCAGTCACCCTCTCTTATAGCTACAGCTGCTCTCTGGGTCTCCTCCCTCCTGCCCATTCAAATCTAGAATGTTACTTTACTATACCCTGTTTTTAACCCATGCTATTGTAAATCGGCCCTTAAGTAACCATTCCTCAATTGTCCTATTTGAGTATACCATCTGTTTCCTGCTGGGCCCCTGACTGATTCTTGTATTTTTAAATATTAGTAGCTGTGATTAAAATTCCTAACATATAGTAGATTCTGCCAGCTTATTGGTCAAGAGCCTTTTCAAACACATTGTAATCATAGGCCAGCTGAGTGATTCAGGAGGCTTCTGATACTCAGTCTCCCTCTCTCCCTGGCCTTCCAGTCTGAAATTTCAAGTGAAACCAAAGGCCAGAGGAAACCTCAAATGCTAACACTTCCACAGCACTTACTGTCCATGGTATCTGACCCAGGATCTTTGAACTATGGTCTGGCCTCATCATCTCTTCCAGTATACAGCTGGCCACTGACCGGCAGTCCAACACGACATTTAAAATTCAAAATGTGAAATGCAGAATAATGAAGCCATCTGGGCCATATTATGTTGTCCAACAATTATAAGTAATGTGAGCTATAAATACAACAAGCAAAAGGAAGCAAACAAAAGACCATTAATCAATATAATTTGCATGAGATACGATGACTCAAGTGTATTTACACAAACAGAAAATCCTTTTTCAGGAGACTCTTTACAAATGCTGGTCTAAAGCAGGTCTAGTTTGAAAAATACAACCTGCTAAGGCCATCCAGTCATATAACTTCTCTGAAGTAATAAAAATCTGCACGGGAATTTCACACAGAGAACCTTGATGTTGACGTTTCATAACTCACAGAGTTATATATGAAAGGCAACAGGACCAGTCTTGGTTCAGAATCCAGGATAACTTAACAAAAGTTACATCATAAGGACAGCTTAGTGGCGAGGACTCCAAGAAACTAGTAACATTTGTCATCAGCCACACTCATAAAACCTGTAGGTGCTTGAGTGAGAAAACAACCACAATAGCTTGGCTCTACATCTGTACAGCCAACAGTCTCCTCATCTCTCAGACTATCCCACAGTCACCTCAAACTCAATATATCTAAAATTGAATGAATGCTCCTCCCTTCCCAATCTAGACCTTCTCTTATACCCTAGGCTTTTAACACGAGCAACTGAACAGATAATGATGCAATCTGCGGAGAGAGAAAACACATTTAAACCACGTGGTTGATTTCTCAAAAGAAGAGGGAGTGTGGCTGAATGGATTCTTTGTCCTCAGTTCTTCCCTCCTTCCCTTCCTTCACCAGGGTTTACCGTGGGTAGGGAATAAATGTCAGTGCTCACTGATTTAGCCAATGGACTTAGAGCAGAGGCTTTAGTTGTGCTCGCAGGGTTTGGCTTGGCCTCTTTTGCACTTCTGCCATTGTCCATGCGAACAGGTGATATATGGGGCAGACCAGAAACCAACCTGCAGCCAGAAGGTAATGAATGCAGACTGAGGAATACTACACAGCAGCCCAAAGCAATGAACTAGATATGCATATGGCAGGCAGTCAGGACAGATTTTAAATTAAATCATGAAGTGAAGGATAGCAGTAAAAAATAGAGTAAGAATTGTAGCACAATGCCAATTACACAAATTAGACATAAACACGTGCACAAAACAACACTGTCATTATTTTAGGGATTTAGATCTTTTCAAGAACATGGCCGGGAGAGGCAATACCAAAAAAAAAAGAGAAATTAGGGGCCCTGGACTGACTATAGAGGATAGAGGAATGGAGATCCCTGATGAACTAAGCTCTCTGTCATAGACTTTTAAAAAATTAAATAACAAAAGTTAAATGCTTTACTGACTTAGTCTGGATGACTCTTTAAAAATAAAGAAATTAGAACAAGAAACAAAAATTCACCTATATTCCCCACCACCCAAAGATGACCACTGATAATATTACCAATGTTTTCTTAAGGAATTGCTTTTTAAAAGTGATTGCATACAGCTATTTTACATATTAACAATTCACACTTTTTCCATGTTTCACGGAGCTATTACACATAAGCAATTTATAATTTGACCACTTTTTATTTGACTACTATGATAAAATAGGATTTCTTGAGGTTAAATAAGGCATGGCAAAGGGGCTTTAAAAGTTTTCAGCAGTCAGGTTTGCTCTGTTGCATAGTAAGGTCACTTATAGGTATGTCTCTTAGTGGAAAAAAGATTATTTCATGAAAAAAGAGACATTTTCAGTGACATGATGAGTATATGCCAGCATATTCACCTACTTTGCTATTTTCTTTGCACGGCAAATGAGTTATAACTTAAGAAAACCTCAGGTGTGGACGATAAATAAATTATCGTGATTCGGTTGCCAATTTGCAGGCGCTCCACGTTTTCTCACAGCTGTGGAGTCCCACCCAAGGCCATTTTGCCTTCACAATAAACATTTTCTAGGGCTTAAATTCTCTGTGGTTTAACCCCTGAAGTGCTGTTGTGGTTGCCTTCCTGAGTTTCTACCAATGGCATGAGAGTGAAGTTGCAATCAAGGAATCAAAGAAAACAAGGCAAGACAAAATAAACATACCTCAAGAGTTTACCTGACTTGTACTGTATTTCCATTTGGTATTCTAGGTTACATATTATTTTTCCTTTGATGCTCTTCCTGAATTCTTTCTGCCTGCGACTAAAATCGCATTTAAGCTGGGCTTTTCTGTAAGACCAGAAAGATATCAAGAGCAAATGAGTGCCATTCCAAAACTAGCCAATTCATATCATATGGCTCCCGATTAAACCCTGGGAAAATGGATTTAGAAGAATCTACCACACTGATTGAGAGGTACTTTTCTAGGGCGGCCATCTTGGCAAGGACCCTTACCCTTGTCTGGGCCAGCAGTATTGTGTGTGAGAATTCAACCCCATTTCTCTTAAATGGAAAAGTCACTTCTCCATGAAAGGGCTTTGGCTCTTTGGTGAATCCCAGCTTTGCACGATACAAACTGGAAGTTTAGGTTAGTCTTACTCTCAATTTCCTCTAATTTAGAAAGACAGAAGTAATATTATACATACACTTTTACTGAAGATAATTCTGAGCACCACGCTTCCTATTTCTGTGTGGCCAGCCACAGAGTCGCATACCACAGAGAACCATCACTGAGCACTTGAACTGTAGCTCGTCTGCACTGAGATGTGCTGTCCAGATCAACAGACCCAGACCACATGCTAAATTTAAAATAAATGCCCAATAAGCATTAAATCTCACTTCTAAATTAAGAAAGATATCCTTTACATAGTCCCTTGAAGGATTCTTTAGTCCACAATCATAGTTTTCCTTTCTTAACTGCCATTTTTAAACAACTTTGATTGGGTCATTAGCATTAGGGGCTCCCCTCCCACGACAGCCATCCTAGGTTGCCTTCACTCTGTTTTAGATTTTAAAAGAATTATACTAATATGCAATTATTTATTATAAGCCAGAAATAGCCAAGACTTAGGAAGGCCATGGAAAGGGATTCTAGTGCAATTTATGAATTTAATGAATTCCCAAATGCATAGCATGACTGCATTTCAACTGTTCGTCGTTCAATAGCTGAAAGTGCCATTATTGTTAGTATAAAATCCCTTCATAAAACGTCAAAATTTCACAAATCTAGCCAACTGTATCCCAGGTTGGAGGAAATCATTCTTGTGCGTGTTTACAGGTGTGTATAGCTTCTCTTAGTAAAGTAGAAAGCCTTGCATACATGTCATCACCTCCCAAGTAAGAAGCCATAACATTATTCTAACCCTCCATTAAAGAACTCTTGAAAGACTCATGTTACTGGTATGTGAATCTCTTCCTATGTGCCCTAACATAAGACTAAATTATAGGGCTTGAAGTCTACTGTCTAGCACACTACTGGCAAAGCTGACTCAAAAACTGTTTGATGAATTGAATTATCCATGTGTCTCAACCTTTCCTTCTTAAGAAGTTCCATTTTCTTCAGTTCCAGTGATTAGAAGGGCCAAATCTGCTGATCAATAGTAGTTTCCATCTGAATCTTTGACAGGTGGTCTGGCTATTTTCTAAACTACCCAAATCAAGGGCAAAATGTAGAAGTACAACACTGGCAATTAGTAGATTTTGCTGTGTTTATTTCCCTTTGAATGCAGAAATTACTCATTACTTGCAAATGTTCTTAAACGGAATCTGAAAGAAACTGCCATGTAAATTTCCCCTACAGTGGTCCTGGGTAGAGAGTGGCAAATACTAGAAAAGCAAAACCAATTAACCTGTGTCTTTCCTCTCTTTAAGAACGCTATTCAGTATATGGAGAGTTTTAAGGAAGAGAGAAGCAAGCACCTTCGCAAAAAACAGAGGCAGGGGTAGGGTGTGGGTATCTGGGGAGACACCAGAAGAAACCAACCAGATGACAGATCGCCAAACTCAATGGAAGGCTTCACACATGGCTATACTATACTGGTTTAACCCCAAACACAAAAATATGCATAACCAAATGCAAGATGCTGTATGATTTTAATATGCATACTTGTACTCTCTGGATTATACCCTGGGATTCTGCCATGAACAAGTGGTGAATGCACATGTCCCCATTATATTGACTCTAGAGCTGTGCTGTCCAATACCATAGTAACACCCATATGCAGGTAATGAGCACTTGAAATGTGGCTGGTCTGAATTAAGATGTGTTTGTAAGTGTAAAACCCACACCAAACTTCAAAGACTTAATATAACAAAAAGGATGTAAAATATCTCATTAACAATTTTGTATTGATAGTATCTTGAAATTATAATATTTTACATATATATGGAAGTGAAATATATTACTAAAATTAATTTACATTTTACTACGGCTACTAGAAATTTTCAAATACTATATGTGGCTTACATTTTATTTTCTGGACAGCACTGGTTAATATTTGTTTTTTGTATTTAGGTGCTCTTATGTTGGGTGCATATAGATTTACAATTGTTATATCCTCTTGCTGAATTGATCCTTTTATCATTATGTAATGTCCTTCTTTGCCTCCTATTAGTCTTTGTTTTAAGCCTATTTTGTCTGATATAAGTATTGCTACCCCAGCTTTCTTTTCATTTCCATTTGCATGGAATACCTTTTCCCATCCCCTCACTTTCAGACTGTGCATGTGTTTAGATCCGAAGTGAGTCTCCTGTGGGCAGCATATACATGGATTTTGTTTTTGTACCCAGTCACTCTATGTCTTTCGATTGGAGCACTTAGTCCAGTTACATTTAAAGTAATTACTGATAGCTATGTATTAATTGCCATTTTGTTTGTTTTCTGGTTGTTTTGTAGTTCTTTGTTCCTTTCTTCTTGTTTTGTGCTCTTTCCTTGTGATTTGATGACTATCTTTAGTTTAATGTTTGGATTTCTTTCTGGTTTGTGTGTGTGTGTATTATAGATTTTTGGTTTGTCGTTACCATAAGATTCATATATAACAACCTACATATATGTGATTATTTTAAGTTGACAATCTCTTAAGTTCTAACACATTCTAACAACTCTGTATTTTTTCTCCCTCCACCCACCTTTAATGTTTTTGATAATTGTATTTTGTATCTTTTTGTATTGTGTATCCCTAACTCCTTATTATGGATGTAGATGTCTTTACTACTTTTGTCTTTCAACCTTCCTACTAGATTTGTAAGTGGTTGATTAACTACCTTTACTGTATGTTTGCCTTTACCAATGAGATTTTTCCTTTCATAATTTTCACATTTCTAGTGTGATCTTTTCTCTTCTGCTTAGAGAAGTCCCTTTAACATTTCTTGTAAAGCTGGTTTAGTGGTGCTGAACTCTTTTAGCTTTTGCTTGTTTGTAAAACTCTGTCTCCTTCAAATCTGAGTGATAACCTTAACTGGTTGAGTATTCTCGGTTGTAGGTTTTCTTTCATCACTTTGAATACATCATGACAATCCCTTCTGGTTTGCAAAGTTTCTGCTGAAAAGTCAGCTGACAGTCTTTTTGGAGTTTCCTTGCACATAACTAGTTGCTTTTTCCTTGCTGCTCTTAAGACTCTCCATCTTTAACTTTTGCCACTTTTATTATAATCTGCCTTGGTGTGGCTCTCCTAGGTTCATCTTGTTTGGGGCTTTCTGTGCTTCCTGAACCTGGATGTCTGCTTCCTTTCCCAGGTTAGGGAAGTTTTTAGTCTCACCAGTATTTATACTACAAAGATGCATCTACTTAACTACTACTCATCCATCAGGATTCAGTTCAAGCACTGTATTAGGCCTGTCCCTAGCGAGACCACATCTTACAGGTTTTCCATATTCTCTGCTGTATCAATTCAAGGTTGGGCCCACAGCATGTGAACACTATCTGTGACAAGCTGAACTAAGAACTGATCTTCCCCTTGTACATTTTTTCTCATAATTACTAAATAAAGAATATAATCACATCTGAAATAAGAATGCTGCTTAAATATCACAGCTAAACAATCATTTTCGCATGATATGTATCTGGAAGAATCCAGAACCATCTGATAATAAGGTCTGCAAGGAAGGGAACAAGGTAGCTGAGGACAGAGGTTGAAGAGAGATTTTTCTGTAAACTTTCAGTCTGTAACCTCATGCCAAGAATTCTTTTAAAACCTTTTCAAAAGAATATCTTCACTATATAGAAAAAAGATTTTTAAAACTTAGCTTCTATCAAAGACTTGTAAATAATTTTTCTTGCATTGCACCTTTTAGATCAGCAACTTTCTGTAAGGTGCCAGATAGTAAATATTGTAGGCTTTGTGGGTCCCTGTGAACTACTCAACTCTGCTGTTAGAGCATGAAAACATTCATAGACAGTATGTAAAGGAACATGTGAGGCTGTGTCAGTAAAAGTTTAATTTTTAAAATAGGCAGAATTTAGCCTGTGATCAGTTTGCCACCCTCCCTACCACCACCCTGCTTTAGATAGTGCCTCTTTTGAACAACAATGTGTAACCATATTCTTTACTTTTTCATTCTTAAACAGATCAAAACAAATCTCCCTTCAACTCAAGTTAAGAATTATGTTAGGAATGTTGGAACAAAGCAAAGATGATCAAGAACAGAAGAAAAACATCTAGTTTATGATATAAAACCACAGATTCATGATACTTACTCAGAAAAGCAAAGGTGACTCAAAAGCCACTCTCATCCTATCAGAACTCTTCTGGGTAAAATCAATGATGGCAACAAAGAAGTCACATTCTGGGTTGAAAATTACTTCTGAGTCTTCATACTTCTCAAGTTGGACACTAAAATAATATATACTTGTGCAAATAAATTCAGAAATTGCTACTCCAGAAATGTAGATAATCTAAATTAACTAGATGTTGACTGCTGACCACTAAATTCTCTACAGAAGTGACCATTATAACAAGTAGTCTCATCACCCTGGCCTGTGGCACATGATGAGGTTACTCTAATTCAGAGGATCCCCTTGAGAGGAAGATTCAGTGGGGAAAAGTTTAGTTTACTGGGACACTGGTCCCAAGCCCTAGGTTCTAGACTTTTATCTTACTCTCCAGAATACTCTCAGCATATTAACTGAAAGCACAGTCTCCCCTAGAGGAAAAAAAATCAAAGCAGTATTCTATTTTCAAAAACATTTCTTGTTCAAGAAAAAGATGGCAAGTTTAAAACTTACCATGAAGGCTTAAAAATGAACTATATAACCTAACAGTGCCAACTGGATTCCCCAGTTTTCCACTGGTGTTCTTCTCAGAGGAAGCAGGTTAATGCCAAAAAGCTTCAGGGATGGAAAGTGGAGACCCAAAGGATTTGCCACTATCTTTCAGAGATATTCATGGACGTGAACCTTAAAGACCAAAAGTTGCATGGCAAAAAGCAGCTCAACAAGTTCAATTTGCATTTCCATCAGAGTCTGGTATGTCCCACATGGAAAGCCTATGTTGAGATAGGGTAGGATGCCCACTAGACCAATGAAAAACCTTGATGTTTAGCAAAACCCAAAGAAAAATGGAAATCCAGTTGCTTTGTTCAAGGGCAGTGTGAGTCACAATAGAATTAGGTGCTTCTCAACATGGCTCACCTATTGATTATATTTTTAATAGTTAGTTCCTTTTTTTTTTTAAGAAACCAACTTTACTTTTTATTTTTTCAAAGATGTAATGAGGATTGAACCCAGCATCTTGTGCATGCTAACCTCACACTCTACCACTGAACTTATACCCTCCCCCTTCACCTGTTGATTCTTTCTGATAATAGAAGCAGCAATGATATAGGCAAAATGGCAGCTCATCATCACACTTGGCTTATTAATAAACCCATATTCAAATGCAAACAGAAGTCAAATAATGGTATCACACAAGAAAAGTCTACCTCATAAAGAATTGAGAGGCTAGTCACTTCCACAAAACTAACTTTCTGGCTAGCGCCGACTGTGCTGCTCAGATGAATGATGAGTATAGATCCTGCTTCCTTACCATGGACCCTAAGAAAACAAGTGTGATTCTATTTGGCAGACTGAAAAAAATTCCACATTTCCTCATCCACAAGTGAAATGGAAGAGATAGAAGAGACCCAACTCTCAGAAGGGTTTGGCAGCCTAGGGAGACATTGGTCCAGACATGTTGCTGTTACATGATCCTGAATTTTTTCTTGCTCCATTCAGGAAATCCAACCAAACTCCAAAGACACCAGCACAGAAAGGAACCCACAGGCAGTATTTCTCTAACTCTGGCTTTCCGGTGGTATTTCTGCATATCTCCCCTCATCTTGTATGGCATCCTTGGGGTACAGAACTTCAACTCTCAGAGACACAGTGGCGAGTGTCAATGTCTGGCACTGACCTTAATAGAGCATAGATGTGCATGGAACTGATACTTTTTACTTCAACAAAATAGCGAGTCTAAGTACGAAATATAGCAACAAAAGTGACAATTAGGAATGGAGCTAGATAACTTATGGAGAAAACAAAAAAGGAGTAAGTCTCTTCAGCTTCAGTCCAATCCAAATTTCAATCAAGTAAAGGTGTAGGCTGCTACCAAGCAGGTGATGACACCAGTGAAACAGTGTCACCACTCACCCGACTGCCTGCCAGTCTGGGAAACCACACCTTCACCGGGTCTCGGAGCTTTGTCCACTGTCTTTGTGTCTAGGCACAAATGAGTGTAAAACATTTACCAGCTTTGCTTAAGAGGCTTTCCCTGGCTCCCTAGTTTGCCCCAGAACCCCATTTTACACTCTCTGACAAGTTTCTTTGTCCTTATTCTTTGACACTCATAGCCCCCTGAACATATCACAATTATAATTAAATGATTATTTTCCTAATGATTTGTTTAAAGCTTACCTTCCCCCAAGAGAAGGTCAGATACAAGAAGGTAAGTTGCTTCTGTAGGGGAGGAAAACTCACTTACCCTCTACCCTTCTAGGTTCTTGGCTAAGACTCCCTGTAATAAAAAACAGATTAACAGGAGAAAAACAAGTTTTGTTGTTGAACTCAACATTGTGTGCCCAACACACAGTGAGGCCAAACAAACCAAAAATATCAGGTTTGGAGCAGAGAAAGGTTTATTGATTGAGAAGGCACTGACCAAGAAGATGGGAGATGTAGACTGGTCTCAGATCCATCTTATCGGCTGGCCTGGGTGTAAGGTTTTTAAAAGTAAAAGGGGTAAAAGAGTGCGTGATCAGCTTGTGCACAGTTCTCTGATTGGAGTGTGGTGAGGTGACAGCGTATTTCAGGAGTCAACATCATCAACCTGGTACCAACCAGTCCAAGGTCTACTGCTTGTGTTCAACATGGGTGAGGGTCTTAGTTCCTGCAGAACAACTCAAAGGTATGCATCAGATTGTTATATATATCCCTTGAGGAGGAACTAATGAGGCAGGAGAGAAGGGGGCAGGGCACAGTCATTCAAGGACACAGCAATTAACACCAAAATGGCAGAAGATTCAACTCCCAGTAGGCCTTGAGGCTCAAGATGGAGGGAGATTTGACTTCTAGTAGACCTGGAGCTTCATTATACTCATTGTAATATATTAATATGGTAAACGGCACTCCCATAGGAGCCATGACAGTTCTAAAGCTAGCCATAAAAGGTCAAAGAGTGGGTGGTGGCCCAATTCCTGGGAATCCCAGCCCCTTCCCCAGGGTAGTTGGAATGGTCCTCCCACTTGTTAGCATATGAAGCTACTGAGTCCATAAAAACTGGCAACACAGTGCATCGTGGCCACCTCTCTCACTCCCTCCTCTTCGGAGACAGCCTGTACTCTGTCTATGGAGTGTGTACCTACTTTTACTTTAACCTGAGCACCCAACCCCCACACCTCATGGCCTTTCCCTCACCTCTGAAACAGCCTACACTCTATGCAGTATGTATCTCTCTAAATAAATCTAACTTTACTCAACTGTGGCCCGCTCTTGAATTCTTTCCTGCACGAAGCCAAGGACCCACACTTGGCGGGACACAGCCGACGCCTGGGACATGGCGCTCCTCACACCTCACATCTGTTTTTTCCTGCATCACTAGGACTCGAGTATCACTGAACTATTGTTTCTTGATTACTTTTCCTTTGTTTCTGCATTCCATCACTTCCCTAATTAGTAACTGCTTGAGTCTGCTCTTTGGAACTTAGGAAAGGCCTAGGAGACTAAAGCCTTTTTCTACAAACAAGAAATAGGGGACACAGAAAGGCTTCTGTGCCTGGGAGGGCCCAGCATGGTCCTTCTTGGTTTCAGTTTAATAACATGTATACCTGCTGTATCTATGGGAGACCCAAGAAAACTGAGCAACTCTTCTAAATAGACCAAGCCACTACCTTCAGTACCATCTCCAGCTAAAGAGAAAAGAAGATGCTGCAGAGGAACCAGTCACGGAAGATTACCAGGCAAAGCACAGCAATCAAGGGTGAGATCATTGGACAGATTTAAGTTGCTGCCTTCTCCACTGATCGGAGTTTCCAGAGATTTAGAGTCATCCTTCTCTCCCTGCTACAGAGAAGGAGACACCTTTACAAATGGAGGTTTCCTTTATAAATGTAAATGTCTCTTACAAAGGCCAACTTGTATTCAGTTGTCAGGGCTTTTCTTGTATCTGTTGTTTCTTAAAAATAAAAATAATCAGCCTAAAATAATCCTTAATATCAAAGAGACATATTTGAGGGACAAATTCTGCTCCCCTTTACTTCCCCCAGCACCTGACACCACGTGTGGCTCATGCCAGGGGCTCAAAGATACATGTGTTGAATGAATGATTTATAATAACTTTCCATGTGTTCACAGCCACAGCTGCCCCACTACCCTACGCAGCCAAGCTACCATTTCAAGTTCAAAGGGGGTCCCCAAAAGAGAAAATCTCATGTAGGAGCAACAAAGAGGCTGATTTATTGCTTCTGAAGGGCCCTTCCTTCCGGTCCTACTTACACACATTATTAGCCCAAAGCATAAGCACTCTGTTACAAGTGACTTTAGAAATCATAATCATTACAATTGAAAACTCTCATTTAAGCCCGACTACCCCACTGTGCTGTTAAAGTATCCCCTCTGTGCTTCCATACCTCTCTCTGTAAGGCCTATTTCAGCTTTTAACCTACATTGTGGGCTTTTCATTTGGAGCCTCCTGTGATCTTCAAGCTGTAATTTTCACAAGTGGAGCCATAAAGCTCTTTAATATTTTTGTTTACCAGAATTGTTCATTTCACTTCTGCATGTGTTTGGCAGATGAATTTTCTGTAGTGTTTCACAAAACAATGCTTTACAGCATTAAGAGAAACAAGTTAAAAGGCCAAAGACAATGACAAGAAAATTAACTGAGCAGCTAAAATATTTAAATTAGTATCAGAAGACTCAAATGTAACCCACAACTACGTCATCTCAAACACATTCAACAGGGAAATCAGGAAGCCCACTGGATCACAATTTTGTATGACAGGGCCAGGACAGGGGCAGGTGAGGGAGGTGCAGGGCTGAATCCTGGCTTTATTTTAAAATTCAATATTTTGCTCACTGTGGTTTTTTTTAAATGAATTTTGACTTTTAAAAATACTATATTAAAATACTACTGATGCTTCCTCCAAAAATCAGAAGTCTCATATGACCCAGCCATTTCACTCCTGGGTATAACAGTTCACCAAAAGAATTAAAACAGATATTCAAATATTTGCACATATATGCTCAAAGCAGCACTATTCACAATAACGAAAAGGCAGAAACAAGCCAAATATCTATCAATGGATGAATAAATAAAATAAATTGTGTTTCCATGAAATTTTATTCAGCCATAAAAAAGAATGAACTGACACAGGCTCCAACATGGATAAACCTGGAAAACATCGAGCTCAGTGAGAGAAGCCAGACACAAAAGGCCACCTATTGTATGATTCCACTGATAGGAAATGCCCAGAATAGGAATACCCATAGAAATAGAAAGGAGATTAGAGGTTGCGGGGGGGGGGGGGGTGGCTGGGAAGAGGGAAGACTGGAGAGTGACTGCTAATGGGTGTGGGGATTTATTTTGGAGTGATGGAAATGTTTTGGAATTAGATAGAGGTGGTGGTTACACAACACTGTGAATGTACCTAATGCCACTGAACTGTACACTTTAATATGGTTAATTCTATGGTTTGTGAATTTCACCTCAATTAAAAATATATATATATTTATATATATAAAACCAATCTTAAAAAAATAAAAATTAAAAAAAAACTTCATTCCTCAGTTTTTTTAATGCCCACTTAAATTCTTTGCCCGAGGCCAGGGTCTTACCTGCCACCCCCAGTCTTAGACCTGTTTCATCTTACTTTTAACTAGAAATAAACAGAGTAAGAAACTGAAATAAGCTTGGGCTACACACAAATCTGTGGCTGAGTTTAGGTAACAGAATGACTCATTTTTGACTCAAAATAAGTTCTCACTTGTGCCTGCCAGCCTTCCCATCTAGCCCAGAGAAGGCTTAGTTACCTGGATCCTTGGCCACCACTTGGACGTCACCATCCACTGGACAAAACATGAACACACTTTCTGCCCATAAGGTTGTTGGGAAAACTTTAATCAGCTAAAGAAATTTGTGAGAACTAAAGGCTACCTCTGGAGAAAAAAGAAAACCACCCCTTTGATTCTGGTTCAGGAAGTGGTATTATTAGATTTTGCTCGAGGCTATACATCCCATGTTTGGTGGAGAAGAAAGTGATTCTATAAGAGTGTGCTGATTTCTTCAGAGAGTTCTTCGTCTTGCCTTTAGTTATTTCAGAGCTTTAAAAAAAAAAGAATATAAGTATTGGCAACCTCAGAAGTTGAAATAATATAAAAAAAAAAGAACAATAACAATAAAAAAGAAGTTGAATAACAGAAGTCTTGAAGGTACCCCCAACTCATCTTTGCACCTTTTCAGTTTTATCCTAAAGATCTCCATGTCTGAGGCAAATCTAAACGGACACAGATGTGCTTTCCCTGGGGCCCCTTAAGTGACCCAGGAGGAGAGCCCACGCAGGAGCAAATTTTCCAAAAGCTGCTGTCCCTACTCGAGAGCAAGGACAGTTTAAGGCCTGCCCCACCCCTAGGGTTGTCCAGGCAGCATCTGCCTCTGAGCATGAATGGAGTAAAGCCATCCAGCCTGCTGTCTCCATTAATAAAACCTCAAGGAGCCGTGGGGAAAATAAGCTGCCCTTGGAAGCCAAGTCAGTCTCTGGCATATCCCCACAAAGAAAGAAAGTGCCTTTTTTTTAATTGAAGTATAGTTGATTTACAATGTTGTGTTAGTTTCTGGTGTACAGCATAGTGATTCAGTTATACATATATATTATTTTCCATTATAGGTTATTATAAGCTATTGAATATAGTTCCCTATGCTATACAGTGGAACCTTGTTGTTTATCTATTTTATATATAGTAGCGTGTATCCCTCCCCCATCCCCTTTCCCCTTGGGTAACAGTAAGTTTTTAAGAAAACACTTATTTTAAACAAACCCAAGGAAATCTGTTTTTCCTTGAGTGACCTAGACCAGGGGTCAGCAAACTGGGTTTGGAAATAAAGTTTTATTGGTACACAGCCCTGCCCGTTTATTATGTATTGCCTGAGACTGCTCTCTGGCTCCAAAGGCAGTGAGGTTGTTGCAACAGACTACAAGGCTGACAACGCCGACAACAGCCACTGTCTGGCCCTTTACAGAACAAGTTTGTTGAGCCTTCACCTAGACTACTACAACTCTGAGCACTACAGCCTCCATGTATCCATTTATAGGTGCACGGATCTATTTCTTATGGCCTCAGGTGCATTCCTAACTGCAAGCTTTCTTGGGTGCATTCCAGATCCCCAAAAGCATGATCGGCTGGCAAGTCTGTCCTGCTAACTGCACTAAACAGGAGCATCCTGGGCCGGCAGATCCTGCGAGACAAGTTCTGCAATGCTCCCTTCTACACCAAGACAACAGCCTTTCTGTAAAACAAACAAGAACATAAAGATTCCATCTTACCATCTCAGGCAGTGCTGGTTATTCCAAGTCACGTATCAGTTTCAGTTTATTTCCAACTCAGCTATCCTTGGCTCTGAAAAGCTATCATCACTGGCATCGCTGTATCTGTCACTAGAGCAAAGGAGGAACTAATTAAGCAAAGTGTAAAAAACTCTGGACAATTATTCTATTTACAGTCCCAAACACTTTCCATAATTAAGCCCCACTCCGAGAAAATACTAAGGAATAATCTATTACCACTTCCTAGTCACTACAGGAAGACGTTAGTCCAACCATACACAACAGTCTCCTGTTGTCAGAGGAACTGGTAACTGGCTTTTATCTTAAATTGGAAGTACCTTATTCAGAAAATTTATAAAAGCATGTCCATTTAGATTGAAATTTATAATTTTCTGAAGACCACTAATATAGGTCAACAGAATAAAAGTTTTCCATTCCAACAAACATTCTCATAGGTCCAAGGGTTTGAGATATAATTTGCACAATTATGCTGTTTTCAAATTAGAAACTTTATGTGACGCTCCAACTACCTTGAGCTACATGCAGTATTCAATATAGGACTGATTATTGACACAGATGCTGCCATGTTGGGTTCCTACAGAAATTACACCATCTCCATGAGACAGGTCTGCAACTGTACTTTCACTCCAAGCCATAGGCTCAGTTTGGGGTTCCTCTTGCTCGGTTCCAAGTAACTCAGCAGGTTGATCAACTCCTCAAGAGTTCTACTGATCTATGAAGACGACACTGCCAGGGAGTGTTTTATGCCTGACCCATTCCTAACCTTGGTCAAGATTTTACTGATTTATAGAATAGAAGTCTAAATTCCATAAGAGGTGAAATCCACTTTTTTTTTTAAAGGGAGGAGAGGGAACAACTGGAGAAATCCTATGCTGACAGGTTAGAAAAGAAAGATTTACTCTAAACATAGTGAGCAAGTATCAATAAACACATAAACAAAATCCTAACAATCTTGTTCTCCTCCCTGACTTTTGGACAAAACACTGGAAAGGGTAGAGAGTGGGGCTACAGTATGGAGAAGAGACAGAAAAAAATTAAGAACTGGCAAAAAACGGGAGGAGGATAGAGCTCAGTGGTAGAACGTGTGCTTAGCATGCATGAGGTCCTAGTTCAATCCCCAGTACCTCTATTTTTAAAAAACTAATTAATTAATTAATTAATTAAACCTAATTACCCCTCAAAAAACAAAACAAAGAATTGGCAGAAAAGACAAGATGTGTTAGATAAACACATAAATCAACATAACATTAAAACTAATCAAGTAGAAGATACCTCCTAGTTAGATTTTAATTCAGAAAAATCAGTCCTACTGTTACAAATGGGTTTCCAATAAAGAAAACACAGGAATAACTGAAGAATGTTTTTTTTAAAAAAAAAAAACAGCCCCCAAAAGTTGATATATCCTTATATAACCATGCATTCTCACTACACAAACACAGAGTCCTTCCCAGTTCTACAGAACAAAAGGGGACATGGAAGGTGCACTCAACTCCTTCTGTGAGAAGTGAAGGTCAAGGATGTTCAGGTGACACAGAACACAGCATGTTCAAGGTGGAGCCAGAATCCTATCCTGAGAATCTAGGAAAAAGTAGTGACAATACCTATGACCTCACCAAAATGTTATGAGGGCCAAAGGAGAATGCATAAATGTGCTCTGAAACTATATACTAACATGAGCTGTTACTGTTTATGGGGGTTACATCTTTACAACATGCTACCTCTCCAAAGTCATGGAAATATAAAGAAGCCATGAAAGCTGCCAAGGGCATGATTTTCAGAATTGTTTCTGGTACCAAGAGTAACTCCCTACCCACATGAGCAAGTGGACTTGGGTGGGTCCGTTTAAGCTAATGGTTGTCATATCCTGTCTGACGACTGTCAGCCCCCAACTCTGCCAACACATCAAAATAGCACAGGCTGAAACTAACAAAGGGAGGTTCCAGGGCAAGCGATTGGGTTCGCTAATTTTCTGTCCTATGTGTTCAGAGGTGAAGGTAGGACAATCAAATAAATCACCATACCTCAAGAACAGCATTCTCAACACAGGCATGGCTGCTAAATTTGCTGCTTTTTATGGCATTTATGTGCCAGCAAAAAACAAGTGCTAGAAATAAAATGTGGATCATCATCCACGTGTGGTACAGCAGTGGCTCCTGCACAGCCAATAAAATGTGGCACTACTCTGTGCCACATCAGACTTAGGGGTTTACTTTTGTTTCACACAGTACAGACTTAAGTCATAAGATATACTTATTTGGGCATATTTTTAGTTAATTTGAGATATCTCAGCTCTATCTTAAGACTACCTTGTCTTTTTGAATAATCTCTGTACACACACACACACACACCCAAATACTTCTTAGTCGAGAGGGTTATTAGATATTAGGGTCTCATACATTAAACTTTATGAAATGCCACATGATACAGATCCATTTATGGGTGTCTTGCTACATTTGAGGAGCAGAAAGTTTTAAACTTGCACTGTCCAATATGGTAGCCAGTGGCCACACTAGCTATCTAAATTTAAAATTTCATTCCCCACGCGTTCACACTGAGCCACACTTCAAGTCCTCCATAGCCATATGTGGCTGGTACTACCCCACTGGACAGTGCAGATGAAAGAACATTTCCATCACTGCAGAAAGTTCTACTGGATAGCACTGGTTTAAAAAGAAATTAATAATGATGTAAAAAAAATCATAATCACCATTCAGTGGTTCTCCTTGTTACTCCCTAAGGCCCTTTTTTTTTTTTTAAGGTCTGGCTATCTACAGTCAATTAAAATCACAGCAAGTATCTCTCATGCTATCATGTGCCCCCTAAATAATGGAAGCACAAGTTTTTTACTGCACTATTTCTTGCAAGATAAAATCACCAGTAGCAATGCATGGGAATCACAATCCTTACAACATTGGCTTGACTTACAAGACTTGACTGCAATGGTCTACCTGTGGTTCTCTGACAAACAAAAGGCTTGTCATAGTCAAGTCTGTTTGTCAAAGACTCCTGGTCCCTAATAAATTCCCACTATGAGAAAACATGTTCTAAGACACCAGGGCAAGGGTACAGTAATGCCTCATGGAGCCCACCTTCTACGCTGTCCCGAGGCAGATGTTAAACCATTTCTTCTCTATTAACAGAAAGAGGTGGTTGGAATTTTAAAAACTGTAATGGCATACTTATGATTCCCAGCATGTGTAAGTTCCTACAATACTTTATATTGAAATCCATTTCATGAGGGAAAAGCATGTTTCAAAACAGGTTGCCATGCACACAGTTTCCCCCACTGCTACACTTACTTCCTTCTCACAGAGCCCCTGGAAGTCATAAAATATAAGAGCAATGGAATAAAAACTTAGTACGCTTTGAATGAGTTTTGCATTGAAGAGTAAGTGGGAGAATGCAACCCTGGCAGGGCATTCAAAGCACAGTAGTCTATATGACTGTTAACTCTGTTCCTGGCTGGTACCACATCATCAGCAAGCAGTGAACCACGATCAATAAAGAGAACCTTTTAAGCAACATTTAATCCCTGAGGGAAGGTGTACTCAAATGGGTTTATCGCCAGTGCTTTACCACAAAAAGTCTCAAGGTATGATGTTGCAGTCAAACAATAATGGTAGGGGAGCAGTCTTAAAAGATGTTTCAAAGAACTGTCAAAAAAGAAAGCAAAAAAAGAATCTTTTTTTCCAGTTCACTTTTGCTTGAAATGTAACAAAACAGGGAGAGTAGTATTTTTATATCAGTTGAAAGCTGACAAAGCGCCATCTCAACTGTTCCTCACAGCAACCCTACAGGAGGAAGATCCTGAGGTTTAGGAGTGGGGGAACCTAGAAAAAATTACCCCCTATGGAACAGACCCAGAAAATAAACCCATAGCACCTGCTCCACTCGCCCACACTGACCTCACAGAAATAAAATATTTGCACCTTATATTGTACGAATGGTTCCTGGCAACATCAACCATGGAGCCCAAAGGTTTTTAAAAAAAAAAAAAGGCAAGGTGATTCCAAGTTTAAAACACTGCTGGAAAATGCATGTCAGATTCACTCAGGACAAAAAGAGTATCTCACTCTCCTAGTCAAAGAGAAAGAGCTACCCAGTGGGATAAGGATGACTTAAAGGGAGAAATGGACACTCTTTATCAACAGCGGAGAGGCCACTCCCACTTCCAATGCCCACCGTCAATAATGATTTGGTGAACCGGCATCCTAACAGGCTACAGATTGGCAGTCCCCTGTCACTAAGCACTTTAGGAATGTGTATCAGGAGCCAAGGGAGCTCTGAGAGCCGAAGCAAAGGCATTAAACCCTCTGGGGAAGTTCAGGGACTGCAAGCTGTTCCATATGGATTTGTGTGCATTTTATCCTGTAAGTCAGGGGAAGCCATTTAGAGTTTTAAGCTCAAACTAGGAAGACCTTTCACCATTCTGCCAGCAGAAGACGGATTGAGAAGACGAGAGCTAGTGCCATAGACACCAGGTAGGAGGCTTTGCAAGAGACGATGGCGATGGGAACTAAGGTGAAATTAACAATGATAACAACACAAGAATTCCCATTTAATTTCCTACCACAGACCAGGCACTGTGCTACATGCTTTACATTTAGTATAAAACGTAATCTTTAGAAATTAACACAACATTGTAAATCAGCTATACTTCAATTAAAAAAAAAACGTAATCTTCATTACTACCATGTGAAGTGGGTACTATTCCTACCCATTTTTACAAAGACACTGATGCACAGAAGAGTGAGGGTGCAGCCAGCTGGGAAATGAAAGAGCTGGGTTGAACTCAGCAGGTCCTGCCTCCAGAGCCCATGCACTGAAGCCCAGGCACACTCCCTTCAGCCCAGCAGAAGACAGAGGGAGGGCAGGTGGATTCCAACATCATAATTCTCCACAACCTGCTGACTATGGAAGATGAGGAGGCATGGAGAGGAATCTGAGCTCACTCGTGGGAGTTGTCAGGTGTGTGGATGAAATGGATGGTGGTACCACTACTAGGAAGATGTTCATCTTGATGTTCGTCATAATCCTGAGTGCTCCTGGGGTGCGGCCATCAAAGAGAGACAAGCTGTAAGGCTTATTTC